TCCCTCCCCCCTCTGCCCAAATATGAATTGTCGATTGGGCGTATTGGTTATTGCACGCCGTAAACCCGAAAGGATGAGCGTATGGGGCAACCATGCGTTAGATTATGCACAGCAAAATGTCATTCACTAGTTAACAACGACCAAAACCGTTATGTATGCAGGAGGCATTGTTGAAATTCCTCACGGTTCATTGTTGCGATTCATAAAATACATAAGCAGATCATTTTTCTAAAAAAGAAATTTCCACCAGTTCTGAAAATATTCTCAGCTTGACTAGGTAACTTGTCTACTAGACTACCAAGTACTTGACACTAATGCCCCTTTTCTGTTGTTTCTTTTTCGCCGTGTAGGAGCAAGAGTCGCAGCGTTGACCATGGCTTCTCGCCGCCCTTCGACCTGGACTCTCTCCGCCACACCGTGGAGGGACGCATACAGAGCGCAGAGAAGCTGTCCCGCGCCGGTAAGTGAGAGACTGAGTGTGTTTATGTTTGTGTAAACAGTCGCGTACCAATCAGAGGGGAGTCCCCCCCCCCCCGGGGTTTGGAGCTGCTCCAATGGGGGGAAGTCCACGTCCAAGTGCGGTTTCTAGCCAAAAAGCGTCCTGGACATTCCAGGAACCCCGACTCGGCCCTCGACTGCAGGAGTACCTGGAAGGCTGGTCACGGACCGCCATAGATTACAGGATGATCGGAAGGAAGGGTTATCCTGGAGGCGGGTATCCCCCCCCCCCCCCCCCCCCCCCGCGTCTCTCTCTCTCTCTCTCTCTCTCTCTCTCTCTCTCCCCCCCCCTCCCCTACCCTTACCCTGCGCAGCCCTGCGCTCTCCCAGAAACAAAGGGACATCGATCGCCATTCCAGGAACGACCCAACTGTGCGGTGCGTGTGTGTCGGTGCGGGGAGCGATCCGCTGCGAGGGAAATCCCCCCGCCGGAGCACAGGCGTTCGCTACACTCGTCCTTGTCACGCCCATTAGTGGTGCGAACCCCCCAGGGGGCGGGTCCGTGAATTGAGGGGGTTGGAGGGTGTGGAAGACGTGACCGAGATATTTCTCGTGCGGACGAACCGCGAGACTGTGTGGCGAGGAGGAGGAAGGGGAGAGGGGAGGGGAGGACATCGAGGAGTCCTTCCTGCTGCCTCTGTAGTCGCACGTCTTCTTGGAGTGGGAATCCGTGTTGTAGTACAACCTTGAACAAAATTTGGGGGCTGGGTCTGGCCGGGCCGGCCCCTGCTGGCGTGCCTAAGAGCGCGGCGACCAAACGCCCCACTCACCCCCATGCTCATG